CCAGTTCTCTTATTCGCAAAGGCTAAATGATTTGCTCAGGGTCTCACAACTGACTGGAAGAGACATGAACTGAATCTAGTCTTGTCTGCCTGCCTCTAGTATCTTCTCTGTCACCTCACTTATCTAAGTCTTTCTTTATGTAACTTTGTTAATCTACTGTTGTCCTCCAGAATCTCCAGTTGATGGGTAGAAATGTATAGTTTCCCCACTGATATTCTTGTCTCATTTCCTTGCTCAGGTTATCAAGAACAGTGAATCTTTTATCTCTGTCATACCTGCCCCACTGTTGGGAAGGAGGTACACAGTTTAGTATGTCACGATCAGTAGATCGATCATGTATCCATGTGATGCTTTGAAGAAAAGATATTTCACATTGAGGCACAGTGCATGTCACTGAGTGGCCATGAGTGACGGGTCCATTAGTAAACCTACTTTCATCTAGTCAGAGAATGAGGGAAGCTTTGTCTGTAGGGCCTATATTTATACACTGCTAATTATTTAAATTAAAACATAACTAGCCTTTTAAAAATGAAACAAAGCAGGCAAAAAATAAAACAAAACAAAAAAATAGTCTCTGGTAATTAACTGCTCAGAATAATCATATGGGACCATTTGGCTATGGGGAGAAAAAAGAATTCACTAAAAAAGAAAACTGCTTTCAGGCTTTAAAAAATTTTCTTTGAATAATCAGGCAAGTTTTATTTTCTTGACCAATAATTTTGATAACAATTTTGAAATGAGACACAAGTAAAGATGTCCCTGGGATGGCTGGCTGCAATATCAGAGGTTAGCCTGGAGTATGTTTTTTATGGCAGCATACTAAGAATAAAACCTGGTGTCCTGATGGAGTGTTGACAGATTCGTAAGTGCTACCCAGTGAACTGTGTTAATTCCTTATCAAAGTATTTAGAGGTGTTGACTAGTTAATTTGCTGGACTCCCTAAGGATTCTTTATGCTGTATTGTTGTCCTTAGGAGATATATTTGATTATACAAAAGCCCTTTTTGATTTAGTTTGAAGAGTCATCCAAGGAAAGGTCTTGGAGTTTGAATGCAAATAAATTTAAAGTGATTTAAGTTTTGGGAACTTTTTAATAAACCACGTCTTTCTTACATTTGCTTCACTGTGTCCTAAGGTGAATGGAGTACTTTGTTTTGATTTATCCAGCTGCTCTCTTTAATGTGTGTTCTGGACCATTCCCAAGAAGTGCTACAGTGTTAAGTTCTGAGCCTGGGTTCTGGTATAGAATCAGAGGTTGTAGGTGTCACCCTGCTACACAGTTCAGCCAAAGATTCAGATATCTGTGCTTTGCTACAGTTAAAAACTAGGGACCTTCCCACCCAGTAAAATGTAGATCTTTCTTCTTTTTAAAAAAATTTTGTATAACATTTTTAAAATTTTCTTTTTGTAGTTGTAGATGGATAGAATGCGATTATTTTGTTTGTTTCTTTGTATGTGGTACTGAGGGTTGAACCCAGTGCCTCACGCATGCTCTGCCACTGAGCTACAGCCCCAGCCTAAATCTTTCTTCTTTAATAAAAAGAAAACCTGGAGAAAAGCCTTCTGTTTGTCATTGTTGCCACTAGAGGACAGAAAGTTACACTTCCTGGTACAGGTATAATTCATTCTAAGAATGCCATGATAGACCACATTTGCCAATGTTTATCAGTACAGAAATTTATAAAACAATGATGCAAATTAATCAACTAAGGAGCTGCTTAAAATGCAGCTTTCTGGGACCTACCCTCTGTGAGTTTCTGATTCCCTTGCTGTGTGGAACTTAAGATTTTACTTTGCGAAACATTGACCTCTGAGTTTTTGTCTGATTATCTTTTCTCTTAGGAGGTTAAGAAAAATGATTATTTTGGAGGAAAAAACCAATGAACAGAAACCAACATATAGGGAAACCAGAGTGATGGTTGATTTAAAGGTCTTTCCCTGCCTTTGAAACACATCAGACAAAGGCAGGGAAAGACCTTTAAATCAAAGGAGACATACTTTGTAAATATTAAGAATCAAAGAAGCTACTAAAAGTTTTTTTATGTGGAGTTATATTTTAATCAGTAAAAACCATAGGATCCTTAGGCAGCAAGTTCCTAATATTTGTTAATAAAATATCTCTTTTAGGACCATCTCACAGTGCCCCTAATTTTATCCTTTGGGCATCATGAAGGCACCATGCCTGATATCTTATCATTATAAGATCTGGTTGTGAGGACCTTCTAAGTAGTTTATATAATCCTATTATCATTTTGAGCAATTATTTTAGGTTGAGTATTCAAAATTCAAAATGCTCCAAAATTTGGAACTTTTTGAGCAGTTATTGGACCACAAATGGAAAATTCCACACCACAGAACTTTGTTCTGTGATCTCTTTCACCACACACGAGGATATAAGAAACTATTTTTAAAATTGAGGGTCCAAAAATCCAGAGTGTCATTTAAAATGTAATTTTGTAAAAACAACAACAAAAAAAATGCTTTTGCAGAACTTACAGTGTCTCTACTATGAACTTTAGTGGTTCTTTTACCAGTCTACATATAAATTATTAATCTAACAGTCTCCTAAAGTTTATTTTGATGCTTATATTAATTGTTACTCTGCAAAAAAAAAAATCCTCCCAGAAGAGGAACCTCTAACACTGGTAATCCTCAAGGGTTCAGTAAATTTCCAGTAATGTTAGATTAGCTGCTTAGAAAGCTTATTTATAGTTAAGATTGAAACTGATGATAAAATGATAATTTGTGTATTATAATCATGGAACACAGAACTTGTGTTAACTTTGTTGTAGAGAATTGCTATGGCTTATATAATTGAATCCTAACAAAACAGATGGGCTGATGAATAGCCAGAGCTCCAAACTCTGTTATGAAACTGTCAAGGAATGCCCCTCCCCTCACCTCTCTGCACTTAGGGCATCCAGGAGGAACCTGGGTGATGGGAATCCCTTGACTGGTTCTCTCTGCTTCTGTTTCCCCCTGCACCATGCAAACATGTTTTCTGTTTGTGCTGTTGCATGATAAAATTGGGAAGATTTTGTTCTTGAATTCTTTCTAGTTTCTGGTTTTGGGAATTTTGTGATCAGTTGATCAGTGCCCTTCAAAACATTGCCTATACCTTCTCTTGATTATTAACTAGAAGAACCTCTCATGTAGCAGTATTTCCATTGTCTACTTTGAAAAAGCAATCATGAACTGTGTAATTCTCTCTGGATTTCTTGCCCATATTGACTTAAAAATAGTTTTGAAGTACATTTAGGCCATCATGTATTTTGTAATACAGTTGGGTCACTGCCGATTCCCAAGATAAATGTGTTTAAACAGAAGCTTTCTCATTCATCATCAGCCTCAGCTTTCATCCACATTTATTTAATGATGATGCAAGCCCACAGCAGTTGTGTTGCAGTTCATCACCATGGAAGTGTTTCTGTCAACAAATCCTCGGTTTGCTATCATGAAATTGATTTTGCAGGGAAAAAGAAGATAATTATGAAAGATTCCTTTTACTTTTTGAAAGACCTTCACAGTTTGCCTGGATGTCTAAATGAATTGTTTAAAATCAATAAATGACAATATAATTGACACCGTTAAATTGACAGTTAAGAGGTTGAAAAAGGAAAAATTCCATATTTATGGAATGTGACTTGGGAACCAGGTTTATAATTTAAAATGTTCCTCTGAAAGCTGCTATGTTCTGCTCAGAAGTATAGATTATGATCAGGGAGTCCAATGAGTCAGATATCAGAATTTCAAGGATGCTTTAACGGTTTTTATCACCAACCTTGTAAATGGCATAACAATAAACACAGAGGAAATTGACAGTGTATTTACTTTCCTTTGCTGATACATCATATGAATTTATAAAAATAAGATTCTCCTATAATTTACATTTACAACTATCTTTGACTTTTATTTGCTTGTCACAAGGTTTTTTAAAAAACTACATAATTAAATTGTAAGTTTCTGATTGTAGCCTACTTATAAACAGGGTATAGCTGCACCTACATTTAGTAATCCAAACTGTTTTGAGAACCAAATGGTAAAAAGGAACAATAACATTTTCATTTTGAAACAGTGTTGAAAAGCTTATGTTATAGTGGCTAATCCAGATTTGGAATTAGATAGATACATTTGGTAGAAATACGGTCAACTTTTGATTGTCAAAGTAATTTTTGTTTCCAAATGTGCTTTCTGGCTTCCTATCACATTTAAAACGTTTTATTTTCACACCATCTTGGGTATGCTCACTGAAAGCAAATTATTCAATATTATTTTATTCCCATATAAATAAACATTTACTGTATTCCCAGTAAATGCTAAGCACTGTGCTCGATTTCAGGGATATTGAGATGCATCCCAAGAATGATATTAAATTTATATGAGAGCTCATGTAATTCACTTTAAGTCACAAATGAAATTTTTATTTAATTCACTTTGAAGTCAGAGATAATTTTTTTGAGTATTTCAACTAATTTCTCCTCTTCTAATATGTGATCAGAAGTTGACTGTAAATTAGAAGTAGGTCCTGCTTGATTTTTTTTAGCAAGAATTAATAGACATAAACAGAAAATAAAAATATTGGACATGCAAATGTATAACACAAAATGACCAAAAGAAAATTCAGCAAGCAATGGTAAAAATAACAAATTATTTACTGTTTTATAATGTTAAAGTATTTTACCACGACAAGTTGCAGTCAAATTAAAGTGAGTTATGGAAAATGAAATACATAAAAATGTATTTATACAAGTGCAGACTAAATATTTCCCATACAGTTATGTAAATGAAAAGATATACAGTAAATGCACACTTGAAATGACTATGCAGGCAACAATTAGTTTCAGACTCTTGTATAGTTCATGCACAAACTTCCCAAAGTACAAGTTCAGTCAGTCTTTTGGGGGATGTGGAGGGATGATTAAAAAAGGACTGAGTTCCTTGAAAGAATATCAGTATGGACTGGATGAGGATGAGGGTGGTCAGTTATATATATTACTTACTGTAATTTGTGATTGTCGAGGAAGAGGTGTAGCTGTTGGTGTGATAGTAATACTGCTGGTGACTTTATTGGTTGTTTTGTTTAGTGCCCCATTAGTTAAACCTTGAGTTCGGTTATCCTGCAGTGGTGTTGAAGGGCTGGCAGGTCTCATGGGGCTGGCCACAGCTTGCATGTAAGGACTTCCTAAGTGAATGTGGATTTTATTATCCTCAGTAGTTATCACACTTGAACTATTACTGTTTGCACGTTGAAACTGCCACGATGACTGCCGGTCTGGGGAGACTCTGAAAATCGCGTGCTTGGCACTGATTTCTATTGGCTCTGGGGAGCGTCCCTGCTCAGGAGAGCTAGCTGAACCAGTCATAGCCAAAACCTGAATAGGTGACATTGTCCTTTCTGGAGTTATAGAACCACAAGACTCTGGGGTCTGTGCTCTGGCAAAGGTTGCCATGGCAATTGGGGACATACCTTGATCTAAATTCGGGAGGCCTTCAGTAGAGGTTTTGGACTTCATTGGTGTTATGGAAGCATTTTGGAGAATGGTTATCCTCTGTTTTGGGGTGCCACAGTTTGGTATCACTGCAGTGCTTGTGTAAGAGTGAGGGCTCTCTGTGGTTGGACTTGTGATTTCAAGAGTGGCTGTATTTTGGGCATGGTCTGGCGTAACCTTTATATGAAGCGGCTGTCCAGGTGTATGGCTTAGAACTAGATCTCCAGGTTGCATGAAGTTGCCATTGGGTTTAGTTTGTATTTTCCCATTCTGAGGATGGCTCTCCTTGGATTTCATCCAGGGAATCCATAGCTTCCTGTTCATAGGAAGGGGAGTGGACGAGTTGCATCTGAAGGACAGCACAGATTCCTCCTCATTATGGTCCTCATCTTGTTCCTCACTCTCCTCATACAACTGACCATTAATGACTGCTCTTTCCAGAGGAATGAGACTCTTGTAATCTGGTGGCTCATTGTCTACTGCTTCTGTTTGAACTTCTTTAGAAAATACTTGAGGGTCAGAGATTCTTCTTCCATTGAGACTAGGACGGAGACTCTTACTACAATGCCGGTACCTCTCTAGCTCTTTAGTGAGGTTTTCGATCTCTCTTCCTAAATCTCTGTTCCTGTTTTCTTGTTGATTTAGTTTCTTTTGCAGAATGGAGTGATCTCCCTGGAGGTGACATATTAGGTCCTCAGTTGCCATGTATTCATGAATTTTCTCTTTTAATGCATCCACTTCTCTTGATAGATGCCCTGATTTAGTTTCTTCTTCTTGAAGCCTTTTGAAAAGCCATTGTTCATGGCTGGACTCTGTCTTTTCTGCCAACTTGTACTTGGCAAGTTCCATTTTAACATGCTCTAGCTCTTCAGATAAAAATTGAGCTTTTTCTCGTTCATTAGCATACTTTCGTTCCAGAGTCTCATATTCATCTTCTGTTTTCATGAGGTCATCCTCAATGGCTTTCATATCCTTTAGCTTTAGTTTCAGTCTTTCCACTTCTTGGGAGAGTTCTTTAATCTTATTGTTTTCTTGGTGTAAAGCTGTTGTGGACTTGCCAGAGTCTTTGCTTTTTAGAAAATCTTTCTCACTTGCTTCCAATGATTGAAGCCTGTTTTTCAACATATTGACTTTTGACAAGAGATCATTTCCTTTCTCCTCTTCTGCTTTCAGTTTGTTTTTTAGATCATCTCTTTCCTTGGTTACATTGAACATCTTTTCTTCCACATCAGTTTTGGACTTGAGTGCCCTTTTAGTTTCCTCAATTAACTTCTCAGTAACTGTTGTTACTTTGTTCTGCTCCACTTGAAGCTGGGAAGAAGCAGCTTGTAATTTATCTTCCGTTTGCTTTAATTTTTCGCTCATTGTTTTCCGTTCATCCACAAGCATCACAGTTAGTGTTTTCAGTTTAGTCAAATCCTCCTTCAGAGTGAATTCTGTCTTTTCCAGCCTACTTTCAATGTCTTCTAGCTCTTTGATCCTCACTTTTAAACTCTCTAGTTCCTGAGACAACTGCTTTGTGGTTGTCCTTTCTTTTTCTAAGTTGCATTTAAGAGAGTAGCATTCTTGTTTGCTTTTGTTGAAAGCATCTTCTAATTTTTCCAGAGCCATAATCCTTTTATTGAGCTTTTCAACTTCTAGTTTAAAGTCTTTACTCTGTGCTGTTTCCTTCTCAAGCCTCTTATTGAGATCTCTGCACTGTTCCTCCATCTTTATGAGCTCTTCATCTTTTCCTTCCATGTCTAGCACTCGCTTCCTGAGCTCCTCTACCTCAGCCATTATGCCAGCATTTCCATATTCTCCCTTGTTGATTTTTTCTTTTATATCTTGCAGCTCCTCTTCTGCTTTTCTTAAAGATCTGTTTGTCTCTTCCAACTCATCAATTTGCCGACTGAGTGCTGCCAGCTTTTGTCGAAGCTGGCGATTTTGACTGTCCTCATTGGTGAGCTTTGCCATAATTTCGTCTTGGTTCTGATGAAACTTTGTGGTCTGTGTTTGCAGTTCTTTCTCTAGTCTGGTTGCCTTCTGCTCTTCTTCCTGAACTCTGGCTTCAGCAAGAGTTAGTTTAGCATGTGTTTCCTGTGCACTTGTGGTCAGGTCTTGAATTTTCTGTCTTTGAAGGGTGAGCTGTGCTGTAAGCCTTTGTTGTTCGTCCACCACCATCAAAGCAAAAGACTTCAGCTTGGTCAGCTCCTCTTTCAGGGTGGTGACCCTCTTTTCCTTTTCTTGCTCCTTCTTCTGCTGGGACTCGGTTTCTTGACCAATCAGCTTCTTTAATCTGAAAAATACAAGAGTGCATTCTAATTTGTGATTGCCGCTTTAGTAACTCACATCTATGATTAAACAGTTATGTAATTTGAAAAGATTGTATCAGTTCACATGGAATGTGGGAAGGAGTTCCTGAATTTGATGAGGGAAAGAGAATCTTGTTAAAGAAATATCTTGCTTTCTGGTTAACTACCATTGATTAGTAACAGTTGTAGCTTACCAGGAGCCTTTATGGAAAAGACAAGAATATTTGTTTTAAATTGCCGTGTAACAATCAGAGAGGGCAGTCCAGCCTGATGGCTGTGAAAATGGATACGAGCTTGAGATTCAGTTAGACCTGGCTTCAAGATTGGCCCTACTCTTGCCAGCTGCTTTAATGAACTTGGGCAGTTATTTAATATCTCTGAGGAAAAAAAATAATAATATCTCTGAGGGTCAATTTTCTCATATGAAAAATGAGGACAATCACTTTATTTACCTTAGGGGCTTTTTGTGAAAATTAAATAAAGTGATTCATCTAAGATTATTACAGTCCTGGAACAAGGTACACATTTGACAAATGTTGCTGTTGTTCTTGTTTTATTAATTATGATTCCTATATTTATTAAATGGTTTGTGTGAATCATTAAAATGTGTGATATAGTGATATTTAGTGTTCACTCCCTGATTCTTAGTTAAGATAAAATTTTATTCACATTGCTTAGAAGTTATGCACTTTATTGATGGACTGCTCTGCCAATTAAAGCTTGTTTTGCACTAGCATGTCATTACCTGAGAACAACTTCACGTATACCTTTTTCCTCCTAGTTAATGATAATTTAATGAGGGAAGTTGAGGCATCTGAACCAAGCTTGAGGGTTTTCATAACATATGGAAAGAGCAAGGAATTTGGAAGGAAAGAGCTTATTGATGAGAATCCAATACTAGAAATGATGGACAGGAAACTATTATCAGGATCATAATGATTCCCTCTTAAATGAAGACTATTACTACATGCTATTTTTTCTTTTAAATTTGTCTGCATAACAGGAAAGCATTTCACATGCAGAATAAACTGTCTCTTCCATATGTTTAGTAATTTCAGTAGGGAGATTGTAGTTTTAAATTTGTGGCTCTGTTAATTGCACTGGGAATGGGCTGATTATAGAGGATGTAATTACGGTTCTGCAGTATTGTTATACAGAAGCTAAAATAGAATGGAATCCCTGAGGAATTTAAAGGGCTTGACGTGGATGAAAACAGTACTTGCTTTCTGATCAAGACTAAAGTGTTCATAATGTTAATAAATCATTTTTATTAGGAATGAGTTAATTATTCCAATGCATGTCTTTTATCCTTGTCACAGAACTTTTTGTAAGAATTTGAGAGGACATTTGAAAAAGAAACTAATCTAGGGAAGTCTTGGAAATAAAGAGTCATTTTTGAGATCTGAGTCTTCTCTTTTCTGTAATTATGCTACACAGGAGGAACATGTTTAAAATTACTGTGTAATGTAAGAATTCCCAAAGTCTTTTGTGGGGAGGACCCACTTTTAGTTTTTCCTGTTTTGAGAACCTGACAAGAGACTAGCCCAGGGGCTGTGGCCTGTGAACTTCAGAAGACTAGGCAGGATGCTGGGGTGGGGTTGATGATCTCATCTAGGGTATTGGTAAGAGGCTTGCTCATAGCTTCTGGCTGCTCCCCACTATGTACTTGAGAAACCTGGGAGTCTGAGAAGAAAAACATGGTATCTTCTTCCTGAATGGTTGTGGGATCTAGTGGCAGAGTCCACAGGTAAAATGCTTTGGTGATGAAATAATTACAGAAACTTTGGCAAAGAGCTTCTTCCTCCTGCCTTAGCATCAGCATTGGATTTAATGGTCTTGACAATGCATTGATCATAACTTCACTGAAATAGTTTACCCTTGCTACACCCCAGTTGCTTACAGTTTTATTACAGAATAGTTTCATATATTTCTTTTAAATTTATTAAATAATAGCATGTACTGCTTTTTCTTTCTTTTTAATTTTATGTGTGTGTGCATGTGGGATGGGGCTAGAAATCACACTCAGGACCTTGCTCATGCTACATGCAAGAGCTCATGCAAGAACTCTTCCAACCAAGGTACACCTGAGCCCCACTTTTCATTTTTATGAGAAGGGGATGTGTTTTCTTAAGATGTAAGAGCAGGAAGATTATTTTCAGTATAATAAAATGAGCACTAATGGAATAGTGATTAGTAAATCTGGGCAGTGCAGTAGCCAGCGAAAAGGTTTTGAAGATGTTTCATTTTTTTCCGTTGTGTGCATTGTTTTGGGGAGCAGGCATAGTGCATCTTTTTCAGCGTGATGAAAGTGATGCAACTTTTTCTTTTTTTTTTTTTTAAAGAGAGAGTGTGAGAGGAGAGAGAGTGAGAGAGAGAGAGAGAATTTTTAATATTTATTTTTTAGTTCTCGGCGGACACAACATCTTTGTTGGTATGTGATGCTGAGGATCGAACCCGGCCGCACACATGCCAGGCGAGCGCGCTACCGCTTGAGCCACATCCCCAGCCCCAATGATGCAACTTTTTCTTGGATTTTGTAAATTGGTTCCCACCACCATCTGCTCCCCAAGTTCCATCTTACAAGGTTGTCGTATAAAACTGACGATTTTTTAATTTGTTCCAATTAGTTATACATGACAGTGGAATTCGCATTGACACATCATATATAAATAGAGTATAATTTCTCATTTTCTGGTTGTACATGACGTAAAATCACACTGGTCAGGCAGTCATATATGTACATAGGGTAATAACTTCTGATTCATTCTACTATCATTCCTACCACCATACCCTTCCCCTCCCTTCCCTTCACTCCCCTCTGCCTAATCCAAAAATACTAACAATTTGAGTACATTTGCTCCAACTGTTTTCTCATTCCTTGTTTCCCAGTAACTTCACTATTTCCCATGGGACAGTCAGCAGCCTAGTCTACTAAATCCTGTCAGGAAAGGAAGTAGGGGTTTATTTGCAGGCGGGCGGGGGTGGGGATTTGGACACAAAACAAAAAAACTATACCCTCAGCAATCAACTCCAGAGTTTAGGGCCAGGAACTAGTGGGAACTGAGGGCAGGAAACCTGACAACCTTTTTAGAGACTTTTGGCTGTGTGTAGTGATGGCTGGATACATGTGTGAGAGCGGGTGAAAGAAACCACTCCTGATAGTTGGTGAGTGGGCTAAGACTTAGGGTTAGGGTTAGGGTTAGGGTTAGGTTAAGTTTGAGGTGAGTTTAGGGTCTTAAAGAAAATATAGGGTGAGTAGGATGTTGAGTTGAAGCTCCTAAGCCTAGCTTCCTTCTCTAAGTAGAAATGATTTGAGATAAAATAGTAACTAATCTGTCTCCATTATTCTTTTTAATTAATTAATTATTTTTGTTGTTGATGGACCTTTATTTTTATTTATTTATATGTGGTGCTGATAATTGAACCCAGTGCCTCACACATGGTAGGCAAGTGCTCTTCACTGAGCCACAACCCAGCCCTCTCCATTATTTTTCTTAGCAAATTAATAGGGTTTTAGCATTGATATGACTGGCAGATTATCATGACCTCTGGATTTTCTAGCAAACACAGATAAATGATTTTGAGAGCTTTTAACCAGGGTTCTCATAATCTTGAAAGTAGCATGGAATCTTGAGATGCAGAACTCTCCAGACTTGAAATCCATTTCTTTAGAGCTGTGTAGGCAAATTATGACTCCTTTTTCCACTAATAGTTCTGATTAAAATGCCATTATACAGGAATGTTATATTTATCTATGCCATGGTTTTTCCAACCTCAGCACTACTGACCTTTGGAGCCAGATAAATTCTTATTGTGGAGAGCCATCCTGGGTACTCTAAGAAGTTTAGCAGCATCCTCCAATGATAACAACCAGAATTGCCAGTCTTCTGGGAGCAATTTTGCCTTCAGTTGAGAACCACTGATCTGTTTGTGTTTGTGTGTGTGTGTGTGCGCGCGCGTGTGTGCGCGCATGTGGTGCTTTACTACATGCATGTAGGTTTATATATAAGCCTGTCATTAAAATTTGCAATCCATCATCCTGCCTTATTCAGCTTTATTTAAGCAGGTGTAACATAAAGTTCCCATCTGAGTTATATACACTGTGATTCTATCTGCCCTTCTAATGATATGTTCTTTATCAGTGTTTCTCACATTTCAATGTAATTTGAATCACCTGGAATTTTGTTAAACTACAGATTCCAATTCAGTAGGTGTGGGGTGGGTCCCAGATGATGCCAGGTCTGCTGGCCTTTGGACTGACTACAGATAGCAAAAATTTGCTATTTACCTGTTAGATACTTCCTGAAAATGAGACCTTTGGTTTCAAAAAGGTCAGGAAGGAGCAAAGCCTGTGTTGTTTCCCCATATCACATTGCCTCTCTAACTCCAAAAGTAAACCATTGCCTGGGACTGTTCCCACATACAAGGTGTCTATCAAGGAACACTCTCTGAGTAGAGAAACTGTCAATCTAAAGAACAAATTTCATTTATTTCTGTTTTTTGTTGTTGTTGTTGTTGCTGTTGTTGTTGTTGTTGTTTGTTTGTTTGTTTGTTTGAAGCTAGGAAAGTTTTTACACATTTTGAAACTACCATCTCCATGTTTTTAATTCAAGGTTTTACTGGTTACAAAAGATATGTTCATGTCTGACATGATCTAAATGTCCTCATTAACAAATCAAACAGCCAAATCAGTCATTCTTTCATGAAGAAAATCTGACTTCAACTTAAGTAAATATGTAAATACACATTCCTCTAGCAACCATCTCACTTCCAGACACAGGAACTTGCCCTGAACTACTCTGAAGACAAAGCAGTATTCTATCCAGTGTTGGTTCTGAGCAACCCTGCTGCTGCTCTCCTGGAACTCTAGGAGTTAAGGCTTGCTTTCTTTTTTATTTTTTCATATATTTTTTGGTATTGGGGGTTGAACCCAGGGTGCTTTACCACTGAGCTACAACTCCATCCTTTTTTGGTTTCTTTTTTT